AGCTCTTTTTTTTTTTTTTTTTCCTTCTTGTTGTTGTTGAAAATGATTTTTGTAACATTGATTTCTTAAATAATATATGGTTAAAATGTAAGAAAATATTTTGAATTTGTATGTAAAATATTATATTATAGAATGTGTTGTCAAAAATGAATTTAAAAAAAAATGTGAGTTTTCAGATACTGGGTATGAAACAAAAGTAAATGTGAAAATGACACTCAAATATGGTTTTTAACTTCTCGATTCAAAAATCGGGATTCAAAATTTTTTTGTTCAAAAATCATGTGGTAATTCAAGTTTTGAATATTTATAATAATATTATAAAATTAAATTACATCCCACGCCCATCCACCCAACAAATTTTACTCACAAACCATCCCTATCCCCACGCAACCCAATCTACTGCAGTGATGGCGCCGTTGTGGCATGGTGATTGTCGCCTCACAGCCACACTCGGTGGGATGAGCACCACTGCAAAGGTGCTCACCATTGAGCACCATTGCATCGATGTTGTCGTCACTGTGTTGAGCTCCCTTTGAGCGCCGCTACTCGCGACACCGTGAGCTTCGGGCACAGCAGTGCTTTGAGTACCGCTACGCGCCATCATCCTTGTGTATTTAGTGATGCTAGAAATTTCATTTCTATAATCTATTTTTGAGGTGGTGCTGGTTACGAAAATTTCATCCATGTGTATGCAATTGTGTTATGGTGAGGTGGGAGTTAATTAAATCCCTGCTCACTCACATTTGGGCATGGTTACTAATCGCTCACTCAAGAATAAAAGGTAACTGACTGCTCACTCATTTTTCTATAAAGTTATCCATCCATCACTCCATCCATCCACTTAGACAAAAAATTACAGGTGGCGGATGGAAATCCTACGTGGCCATTAATGGTGTTAAAAATTGACTCATGGACAAAAGGTTCAAAATCCTTTATTTTACACCGCAAAGTGGTGTTGAAAGAGGATACAGAAGAAGCACAAAAAATACACCTACTCTCTCACGCACAAACACCCTCACAACTGTGTGTTAAAATAGAGAGAAATATATAGAAATAGGGAGAATTGCAGGCTTTAATTTCATTTCGAATTCATTTTATTTTCGTTTCCCACTATTTCTTTCTTTATTTCTGCATACCGATATAGATCTTGCTGTTTGGTATATGTGTATGTATAATATGAACATATATGAAATAAAATTATTGGAAAATGCCGGGCATAAAATTATTACGGTTTGGTATATATTTTTTGGTTTAAATTTCTAGAAATTATTGGAAAATGCCAGGCCACGGGGATTTGGACAGGCAAATAGAGCAATTGATGGAGTACAAGCCGCTGTCAAAGGTGGAGGTGAAAACTCTGTACGATCAGGCGCGGGCGATTCTGGTGGAGGAATGGAATGTGTAGCCGGTGAAATGCCCTGTTACTGTCTGCGGTGACAATCATGGCCAGTTCTATGATCTGATCGAGCTATTCAGAATAGGCGGCAACACTCCTGACACCAATTACCTCTTCATGGGAGGCTATGTCGGTGAGTTTTTCCTTGAATTATTGGGTGAAAAAGAGGTTTCCTGTTTTGTGTTTGTAGTATACTCTCGACCTGGATGCTGGAGTTATCTATTTGGAATTGATAGAGGTTTCTTATTCAACACTATACTGTGATAAGGCCGTGGAGGTGGAAGTGGAGGTGATGGTGGGGATGAATGATGATGATGGTGGAGAATGATTATTCCAACTTTTAAGAGAAAAAAACGTGTTTGCTGGAATGTGTTTTGTCCATGTGTCAATTTTTAACACCGTTAATGGCCACGTAGGATTTCCATCCACCACCTGTAATTTTTTGTCTAAGTGGATGGATGGAGTGATGGATGGACAACTTTATACAAAAATGAGTGAGCAGTCAGTTACCTTTTATTCTTGAGTGAGCAAGTAGTAACCATGCCCAAATGTGAGTGAGCAGTCATTTAATTAACTCGGTGAGGTGGTGCTAGTGCAGGCGATGACGGTGGTGGTATTGTAGTACAGGTAGTGGTTGTGGCGGTGGTAATGACAATGGCGATGGTGACGTTGCTTGACATTCAATTGATATCGATTGGTGGTGTGGGGGTGGGATGAACAACGTTTGTGTTCAACTATTTGTATCCTGAATATTTCAACAATCTAGGGCTCGTGCCTCCCAGAGGCGTTCTTTTGCATGGATATCCTGGAACAGGCAAAACATTGGTAGTGCGTGCATTGATTGGTTCTTATGCTTGAGGGGATAAACGTATAGCATATTTCACTTGCTTTGTGATCGAAAAATAACTTGTTACCAATTAATTTGATAGTTTGTGACCATAAAATAAGTTGTGACCTATAAAATTTATTATTTGTGACCGGGAAATAATACTCGACCTATTAATTTGATAATTTGTGATTAATATATAAATTGTGATGTATAAAGTTTGTGATTGAAAAATAATGTATGATCAATTAATTTGATAATTTGTGATCGATAATAAATTGTGACATATTAAATTTATGATCTGTGATAGAAACGTTCAGTAATTGTAAAAGTACATAATTGTGACCATAAATTATATAATATTGAGATTTTAATATATCTAATTAATATAATATTTTTAACTATTTATTTAATTAATAAAAATAGATTATGACCTGAAACTTATTTTTTAATTTTGAAATATAAAATGTTCCCAAATAAATTTATGAGCACCTAGGCGCCCAAGTGGCCAACTCGACTTGGGTCTATCTCTGGAGAGTTTTCTTATCCCAATAAACTCATAAAAACACACTCCTATTTTCCAATCTTTCCCTTAACTTGCCGGCCACTTTTTTCTTTTTTCTTTTTTACTGTATACGTGCCTTATTCCGTGGCCCGAAAATAGATCACCTAAACGGTGAAAACGAAGTCAACACATTTATTTACAGTATCTTATGTATTTATTACTCCAGTAATTAAAATTAAAGAATTTATATGTATTATTTTCCAATTTAATGCATAATATATGCATATACTGTTTCAGATTTCTGGATTATTACACGGGAATCTCTGAATCACACTTATATTTTGATCGTGGGTGTTTGACTTGATTGCCGATCATAAAGTGAAGAGTTAATTTTCTCTGTCTCATGTGTTTGAATTTCGGCTGTGAATTTTATGTGATGATTGATAGAATCGGTATCGCATAGTTTATGTTGATTCCTCGGAAGCGAAGAATTATACAAATTATCCCGAGCTTCTGGTGCTTTTGGGAGAATTTTTGTGATTTTTTTGATGTGCGAAAAATTAAAATATATACAGGCGGTGAGTTAAATTCTGAGGTGGAATAGTATAAGTTGAGGGGGATGTCGAATTCTAAAGTGGTATATGAAGGATGGATGGTGAGGTACGGTCGGAGAAAGATTGGAAGATCATACATTCACATGCGGTACTTCGTGCTTGAGACTCGGTTGTTGGCCTATTACAAAAAGAAGCCCCAACACAACGTGGTAAGGCCCTGAACTGTTGTTGCTTTCGGATTTTTCGTTTTAGATTAACTGTTTCCTGAGGCATTTCGAGATTGTATCTGTATATACGGTACATTTTTTTCTCCCATGAAGTTGAAATGCATCCAGTCAATAATTTTGTAATATTAGTTTTGCTCAATATGGATTTGTTGAGGTTAAAATATTAAATTGCACGTGCTCAGATTTTTAGTTGAATTAAGCATTGCTTGTTGCTTAAAGAACAAAATTGGGTGCTGAGATTGATTTTTTAATGTTGATTTATGTGATTAGGTACCAATAAAAACTCTTCTCATAGATGGCAATTGTAGGGTGGAGGATCGTGGATTGAAGACTCAACATGGACATGTGAGCTAGCATGAATATTCCTCGCTCTTCCAGTTCAGAGTTTCTTTAACGTTTCAAGTTATTTTGTGAAATAGATGCAGTGAACCCATTGAAATTGTCAATACTTCGTTATTAGTAAATTTAACTTACCAAACTTTAGATTGGTCAGTGCATGCTTGTAAAACCTACTTCGTGTTATCATTGCTTTTAGGATCAGATCCAGCATTGTATTACCCAAGTTTTACTCTTAAGATTTCAAAACTTGGGTAAGACAATCTATCGGAATATATATCATTTTTTAATTAAAAGGACCCCTTATGTAGCTATTGATTATTTTAATTGATCCTTACTCCAATTTAATGAGGAGGAACATGCCTAATGCATACATTTACCAAGTTTGCATGGTGAAAATGTGGCTTGTCTACAGAACTGCAACTTCCATAATGCTGCTCAATCCAGCAAGATAAGCTACATGAAGAGATTACATTAAAGTACTTTGATCACTCACTAAACTAGCATCAGTGTATGATTTTCTTGTGAAAACTACATTTTAACCATGACTTGTTTTCCTATACCTTATCGTATCAAAGTCACCATTTTGTATAAACCTCACTATTGATCACATATTTCCATTTTATTCATCTTAGTATGGTGCTAGAGAAGGAAAAGGATTGTTTATAGAATTATAGTAATTGTTACGGACTTTCTGTCTCTGGTAAATAGTAGATGGTATGGGTACTCCCCATGGTTGGTTTGGATGGTTAATTTAATCTTGGAACTTTTAAGGTTCAAATTTTCTTTTAATTACATTATCTCATGGAAAGATTGTCTTTTACCATTTCATTGGTGAACTTCTACTAAATAAATGTGTATATTTGGTATTCTTAAATGCATAAAGCTTCATCTCTGGTAAGGCTACGAATGAACTTATAGTATCTCATGTCACAAAAATCCAGATTGCTTTGTAGTGCGTGTATCAGTTGTATGACCATGATATACAGATATATTGGTACTTTATAGAACTTTGTTATCGCGTGATGCTGAATTGATGGCTCATTGTTTTGACTAACATTTAATTATTTGCTATTTCATGTATTTTTATGACATTGTCATTAGTAAATCTTTTTATGGGTCACTGTGAGGTGTAATGAGCTCTTATGCTTAATCATAGTATCGCGTTATCGCGTTAAAGAAAGTTTTGGCTTCTTTCTCCTAATACACCCATCATCTAAGAATCTGCACGACTCCATTGTTTCAGGGTTAATAGATAATTTATTGAATCAACATGCACAATATTTTCTGCTATGCTTAGGAATCGTAGAGTTTATTGACGAAATATTACATTTTGAATTTGTAAATGTTTTCAGTGTACTGGTTGAATATTTTTCAGCAGATAATTTATTGAATCAACGTGCACTATATTTTCTGCTATGCTTAGGAAGCATGGAGTTTATTGACCGAAATCTTACATACTTTTAAATGTTTTTGGCAAATATTTAATTCAAATAAGGAAACATGTACTGATTTAAGGCTTTTAATAAGAACGCTTCTACTGTTTCTGATGAAAATGAAACTTAGCCTCGTGATTTGGTAGAATCCCATGGTCTGATGAATTTACAAACTACTTTTGTTTCTATATCTTGAAAAACCTAAGCTTTTCAGGCTTTCAGTACAGTATATTTTGAAATTTTAATCCAGGCTAGATTGTACCAGGGAAGGTTAAAGGAAAATTAAGGAAGTGCAGGAAAATTTGGGTGTGATTATAGAAGTGAATGAACATAGCTTGTAGGGTAATCTCTTAAAGTTCATTCGTCAATATCTTGTTGAACTGAAGTTATATGGCTAAGCAAATATAACCTAATCTGCTATAACACTTGGAATGTTTTAGAATGCTTTATTAACAAACTAAATTCTATCTAAGGATTTATGACACTGACCTAATTATAACGTGACACATGGACCCATATTTTTGGTTTTGTTGTAAATCCAGAAGTTTCTTAGCTTGATCAACTCCTTAAATAATGATATTGCTATTGGCACATTGGCCCTTCAATAGCATAATTATTGATTTACCTTGTTGAGATTGAATGTAAAAGTCTATGCAGGGCTAGATTTTCCTGGACTCTCTCAACAAATTCCTAGGATCCTAGGTTATTGAATTTGGTTGCTCTTTTGCGTGTTTGGTCATAAAATGGTAAAGCTTCTGGTTTCGTTTTTGGAATTAGGAAAACAGGTTTTCCCAGGGTTTTCTATCTTTTTCTGTAATTGTGCATGCATACCACATTCATGCTTTTGGATGGAATAATGCCTTCTTTAACATGAAACTACAGTTGATGGTAGCTGGCACTCGGGATTATAATGTAATCATTTCATGCTTGCCTTTTTTATGGTTCATATTTGTGATCCGTTTCTCTTTTCTGGCAGATGGTTTATGTTCTGTCTGTTTACAACAAGAAAGAGAAATATAATAGAATTACGGTACTTGATCTTTGCCTATTTTCTATAATTTATCTTTGTTATTGTTGGTAATTAACCCATGTTTTTTTGTGCACATGCAAAACTTGATATCTTTTCCTTATGATGTTGCCTTATCATTGTTTTTCATAATTGGGCAAATTGAGACGGCCTTTGATTGTCATGTAACGGTGTGGATTTGTGTCCAATGTGAGAAGACCACTTAAATGTGGTGAAATTCAAATACTAGCACACTTAGAACACGAGAGTTGAATGCTAACAGATATCTTTTCACATAAATCCATCGACAACTGAGAATTGATATAATCGTATAAGTAAACTTAAGGTGATACAGCTGATGGTTCTAGAGGTCGATTAACCTAAAGTTTTGTTAATGGGAGATATTCTATATGGATTTGTTGTTTTTGCTATTCTTGGTTTATAATTCTGTATCATTTTCCTAGGACTAAACACTTTTATTTTCCTTTTTTTTTGGATTCCATTTACAGTTTAGATTGTGTGATTTCATCTTTTGAGGCAGGCTGTTTGGTTCTAGCCAGTTTTCTAAATTGCTTTGTGGTTTCAGCCAATTTGCTGAATTCCACTATTCATGGTATTACTTAGATGGTCTTTCATATATTTTCCGTTATTTAGTTTTTAGAAAATGAAGAGATGCCTTAGAAATCCATTGGGAACATCAAATAAATGACAAAAAAGTTTCTTTGAATTGGAAAGTCTTTTATTGAAAAAATACATATGTTTGATGAATGTAACGTGAATATGTTTCAAATTCTAATTGGAAGAGGATTGATATTTAATTTCTACCAAGTACTATAATTGAGTAGCATCTATTTTATCTAGACAATCAAATTATAAAATCAATGGTTTTGAACTAATCTAATGATGAATATGGTGACAAACTCAACGATATCAATTCACTTTAGTAGAATAATTAAGATGAGAAAGCCCAGGGTTATGATTTCATCTAACTATCCAATATGATTTTCAAAAATCTAGTTATCTCTAATCAATTTTCCATGTTTATAAGCAAGAATCTTAATGTAATTCTACCCCTCTTGCGAGTGAGGTAAAAATTAATCCTAGGAATTAATTTCAATATCTCTATTTCGAATTAAAATCAAGATTTATCAAGATCGTGGTTTTTAGATGGAACAAGCTTCATAGATTCTACACTTTCTCTCAAAACCCATAAAATCTAAGTTGTGTTATTGTTATGATCGCGTCTAAATTCCCCTCTCTTGAATGTCGGAATTGACTAGCATGTAATCATTCAGTTGATGGTCAATTAATTGAAAGCATTGAATCAATAACACAAATAAACGAAAAGGAAAATTTCATAGAAATAACTAAAATCAAATCAAATCATATTCTTGTTTTGATTACATCAAACCCTAGATTAGATGTTTAGTTCATGACGGAAGATAGAGAAATAATTCAAATTCAAATACAACAACATAGAGAAGAGAATAGAAAAACTAGTTTTGGTAGATCTTCAATCTCGTTTGCGATATTCTTGATTTCTTGATGATTGCTTGCTTCTTGCCTCCTTGGATTCTTGCTCCTAACTCGATGAATTCTCCCTCGAAAAGTGGTCTTTATGGTTGCATTTATAGTGTTTTGAAGTTTCAATACGAGTTGGGAATGGATTGGGCCGAAAACTTTCCAATTCTGAACTTTTTAACTTCAGATGGCGGTAGCTCTGTTCTTTTTTTCGGCGCCCAGCTCTTTGCTGATTTCTGGCTTATTCTCGGGCGACTGGACGCCCATATGCGGCACCGTGGTTCCCATATGTTCCCTTCGCTTTTGGCCTCGTTTTCAATTTTTTTCCCTATTCTTTCATCTCCACTCCATGCCCACTTCCATGATCAACTATTTAACTTCATTCCAAACTCCAAAATACGTCATTTTCACCAAGTCACTTAAACTACGAAACAACACGAAAAAACACATCAAAACACTCAAAAGTGCTCAAGAACAAACCGAGAACTGTGCTTTAAAGGTGTTAATTCAATGAGTGAAATACACTCGTCGGTGGCTCACTTCTTTCAAAGAATGAATGAATATGCATGATTCTAAGTCACGTATAAGGAATCTTGAAGTGCACAAGGTAGAGCTGAACGTGACATCTAGTTTATGGGCAACACTATAGATTTTAGAATATTGGAAATTGAGAATACATTGTGACAATTTGGATCCATAGATATATGATGTTTTAGTCTTACTGTTGATGCCTGGTAGATTTTACAACCACTGCTCATTTAGGTTGTTATTCTAAACTTTGATATTTTTACTATTTAAGCTTGTGTCAAGAATGAAGTTTTTCTGTATCTGTCATTTACCTTGTTCCAGATGGCAGCTTTCAACATCCAGGAGGCACTTATTTGGAAAGAAAAAATTGAATCTGTTATTGATCAGGTTATTTTCTTAGCCTTATCCTCTCCCCAATTATTTATTTTATTTCAACTCTGCCGCTTTTTCCATTTCTACTGAGGAGTTGTCTTCTGGGATTGTTGCATATGTTGGTCTATGCATGGTTGAAGAAGGCGTTCTCTATATCTGGTGATTGAATATTCAAAGTTTTTCCATCTCAGGAGATGATGCTTCATTTCATGCATGCCAGATAGTTTGTACTCTTTGTTTGAATTTTGTATTTTTTTTATTTGTCAAATAACCGATGACATGCTGATATGACCAACAGTATCAAGATTCACAAGCTGCCAACGGTAACAAATATCTTTCTTTTGAATATAAATCTGGAATGGATAATGGAAGGATTGCTTCATCATCTGACCATGAAAGTCAGTAAGTACCATTGTTCTTTTTTCTATGGGCTTTATAGGATATATGTAGGTATTATATTCCTGATAAATTTATTCTGATAGCTTATGTAGAGAAAATAAATCGTGGGTTTGAAACATCAATTGTCCTTTCCAACAGTACTAGAAGATTATAGAAGATGATAATTTGAATATATATAATATCTTGTTTTTTACAATGTTGTAATAGTGCGCCTAGGTGGCGCCGCCTGGGTGGCTAATTAAGCAGTCAACGCTTCCGTTGACCACTTAAGCATGCCTAGGCGCGCATTTTATTATTATTATTGTTGTTGTTGTTGTTTAATTATTATAAAATTTTCAACTTTTAGCCAATTGGATTAAAAGGCCCGAAAAGTTGTTTACCCACGTATTGGCCTACTAATTTATAGAGGGCATCTCCAAGGATTTTGTTGTGATCTTTCGATGTGGGATAATAATTCATTTGATTTGGCTGTAGTGTATTGTAACTTTATATAAATGGTTATTTATATTTTATTAAGTTAATTAATCATTTTTCCTCCAATTAGTACTATTATACTATATCTTGTTTATAGTTCGAAAATATATTTATTTTGTTAAGCTTTTAAAACTATCTATGATGCAACAACACTAATACGTGTCGGACATGTCGACACACGATTTTTTAAAAAGTTCTGACACGACACGCGGTCAACATGTTAATTAAAATCTTTAAAATTCTTGATTTATATGGTAGAAATTTAATTTTATATTTGTTATTGATTTTTCTGGTTGAAATTTTTTAAATATGAGTATCTATTTCTTGTTTAACAATAAATTTGAGTTATAAATGTATAGTATTGTGATAAAGAAAAAAGAATGACCATGATAGAGCATCGGGAGAGTGTCGATATTCGACACGAGTCTGACACAAACATGTTACCCTAGTTTAAGTGTCTGTGCAACACAAAAAACTGTGTTTAGTACTATAAGAAAACACATTTTTATGCTTAAGCCTCGTCTAGGCTCGCCTAGCCCGAAGCTTGGCCTCCACGCATCGCCGCGCATTATGCTTTTTAGACACTATTTTTTACTAAGAGTCTGTGGCTTCCTGAAATTGTCAAGTGCATTTTACTTGAAGCATCTAAACTATAGTAATGTCATCATATCTGAACTGAACTATCGGTTATTGAAAGCTAGACATTGTTTTATTCATGTAAAAAAAAAATTCAACCAGCTTTTGTTGAAATTGAACAAAAATTAAGTAATGAAAGTTGAAATTTCCTTTCTTCTCTTCCAGTTCTAGCAGTCTCCTAGCCACCCTTGCGACCATCATATATATTTTGATCCCTTGAGTGAAATATATTTGTCATTACATCAATACTTCCAAGGTGGATGTGTTAGAGATGAAGTTACTTGAGCAATATATTTCTTTTGATGAGAAAATTTTTAACAAAACAGAAAACCAGAGGGGGGAGGGGGTCTAGGCCAAACCTCCAGTAAAAGGCAAAAGCTCCAAATGACCTCAAGGGACAACCTTAATACAAACTGGAGGTATCACCTCCCTTACAGGACACAAGTGACAAAATTAAACACGAACCTAAGATTAAGAATCAGTGAGAAGGAGACCCAACATTTTTCCGTGGAGTTCATCAGGAGATAGATTTCTAGATGTTTGTGTGAATGGCCCAAAGAAGCGAAGTGATCCGCCACACTGTTGCTACCTTCTCAAACATGTCGGAATGACTTTCAATAGTGCAACAATGTTTTCGAGATTTTCCATTGAAGTATATTGGATGTTCCACGGCCCACACAAAGAAATGGGTGCTTAACCCTTGCAGAGGCTAGGCAAGATTGTGCCATGCACCTTGTATACAAAAAATCTATTAAATTGAAGGAATGCATTGATCTTCCTTCTTTTGAGGCATTTTATTCCAACTGAATTTAACCACCTAGAAAAAAATTCTTGAGGGACCTAGAATAGAAAGTCTAATAAACACCACCTTAGTGATTGAAAGAACAAAAATATGATGTTTGAAATAGTCATGATTAGTATTCTTGATGCTTTTTATTACTATGAACTTCATCTTTTTTCATTATAGTTTTATCTTCCTTTGTAGTCATCTTAGGTATCCAATTCGTTGTAGACAAGATTTAAATAATAAACGTATACCCTCTCTTACTGATCAGGTGGTTGAACATGGTATTACAAAACATCCAAATATCCTAGGTTCAAGCCTCGCTATCACCCATTTAATGAAATTAACACGTGTTAAGATTTGATTTGAAAAAAATGATTCCTGCCTATACTTGAGGGGGCGTAGCAAAGACAAAAATCTAAATGATAGACATGTGAACCTTTCCAACAACGTAAACTTTTGGTTCAACGCAATTGCTTTATTATCATCTAGTTATTTGTGGCTATGGTTTATTTCTAATTATGCTAAGAACGTGATACACGTGAGGGGAAATAGGAGTTTGAGGTGGCAGGATTTACCCACCAATTATATTGCAAAGAAAACCTATCAATTTTAAACATTTCTCCTCTATGGTCTTAAATACTTCCGGTGTATTTGGCATTGTTGTCTAATGAATAGACACTCAAGTCCAAAATTGGTCTCCAATAAGTTTTATCTACAACCCAATAATGGTGTAGGTATCAGTTATTTTCTTAAAATAAAAACAAAACCACATACAAATCTACACAAGAAATATATTTTTTGCTGAGTCAGCATATAACAAAGCTTCTGAATTGAGATGGAGCACTAAACAATGTCAGGCTTTTCCTTTGCCACATTAGCTTGACAGAGTTCTCCTTAGCTTGCATTGGAGAGGAAGTCTATTTTTCCTTACGTGGCAAATTTCTTTTAGCAATCCACGGAAGCATTAGAGATTATTTGACATCTCTCTCCTATAATTATGCTAATCAGGTCGTCTATACAATAAAGGAATACAACATTAACATCTCTCCTATAATTATGCTAATGAGATCAACAATATACTCAATGAATACAACTAATTATAGCTATTTTCCATATTTTCCATAATTATTTATCTTTTAGAAGGTTTCAAATATTGTTTCTTAGCTGTCCTCTAACATATGATTGAAGATATCTACATAAAAAAAAAAAAAACGTAAAAAACGTAATGGCCACTATGCTTTTTTGGAACTCAATGTTGATTTGTTAGTAGGAAAAATGTTCATTTGCACTAATGCACATGCTAAGACGGATGTGTGGTCGTATCAACGAGTGAAGGGGACACCAATTTCGAAAATAAATGAGAAAGACGATTTAGGTAGTTGGGACACGTCTTGCCCAGACAAATACTGCTCTTATACCAATTTTTTTATTTATTTAATGAATGACATGCAATTTATAGTGACTTGTACTGATATATCTGACCTTCTTCCTTAAATATAAATTCATGTCGTGGGACTCTGTACAATTGTTGATATGAGCTAGCTTTTTGTTGATATTCTAGACTTCGCAATGTTCGCATGCTAAACGATTTCCAACCCCTTCAGGTTTAGTGCGGCTGAAGATGAAAATGACTCATGTCGGAGTTTGTCACGCAGAACAACAATTGGAAATGGTCCTTTGGTTTCATTCTTCTCTTGGTTTCCTCATAGTTGTTTCTATATTTACTTAAATTTTATTACCAATTTTCGTTTGGCAGGTCCCCCTGATTTTGTATTTGATTGGACAAGGGAAATAGACTCAGACTTGGCAAACCAGAATTCTAACAATCAAGCATTTTCGAGAAAGTATTGGCGCCTTCTTCAATGTCAAAATGGTGGGTAGCTGTTCCTGGTTTGCAGTACTTTTTATATATGGGAATGGATTCATGAGATCATAAAAACCTTTGGACAGTGGATGAGGGATAACATCGCCTGTAAATTGGCTATCCATTTTCTTTTTTCGAATTTTCAGGGCTTCGGATTTTTGAGGAGCTTGTCGAAGTGGATTTCCTTGTAAGTACTGTCTTATCTAGAGTGACAACGGTTTAAATGAGAAAGATATTTTAGTTTATATTTTATAATAAAATTATATTATGTAGCCAAAGAGCTGTAGTAGAGCAATGAAGGCTGTTGGGGTTGTGGAGGCTACATGTGAAGAAATTTTTGAGCTAGTAATGAGCATGGATGCCACACGGTTTGAGTATGTGCTTTTATTGTTGAATCTAGATTTACTTTATTGTGTTTCATTGCATGTTAAAGAAGATCATAATAGAGGACAGTGTCTGGAAAATCTTATTGTTATCTTTCATTGCAATTGAGAAAATTATCATGAACTTTTTTACCCATGAAAGAGAAGTACATCAACCAGATTCTTAATTACAAAACACAAGTTGGTATGATTTATGTGAGTTATCCTAGATATGATTTCAGAAAATTTATTTTTCGAATATGTAAACATCTATATGTATATAAATTCTAGATTCATTTGATAAAAGCCAAATAGCCGCAGCTATAGAGTTTTTTTTATATACTTTTTCATTCTCTTTTTATAATGTAAAATGTATCACTCTCTCCCTCCTTTTCAGTTTGAGTCTCTTGGTTTGTCTTAAATTGGGTTTTCAATAAAGCGTCCACACATGTATCCTGATTTGTGTTAGGCAGATAGATAGAGGGAGAGTATGTGAAAGTGGAACCAAAAAAACTAATATTAGGGTTTTTTGAAGGGTAGTTTTGTAAAGGGAGTAGAATAGACTATTTATTTTTGCTAAGTTGCAATTATTCTGAAATTTCAAGAAAGAGAGAAGGCTATTCAAATCGAAATATATGGAGCATCCTTGAAAATGCATTGGACTTGGCTTCATTTTATGGTTGAGATTAGTGTCAAACTACGCATGTTTTGCTAAGCTTAAGTTTACTTATAAGTAGATAAGTTCTAAAAATAAATAAATCTTTTATTAGTCAGTTGGAAATAAGTAGATTGCTTATAATATGAAATTAAGTAAATCGCTTAATAAATATCCTGATATGCTTGGTTCACGAATTTATTTTTCAATTTTGATTAAACATTCTTTTGTTGCATGTATAACTAGTTGATAATTGGGGAATGAATTATTTGATTTCTTTCTGTTGCATGAATGTATGTAATTGCCCTATATTTCCCTCTTTTGAATAACTAGTTTTGAATGGAAAGTAAGTTTGTCTGTACCACAAAATGTGTTCAATATGTTCCGTCATTTGAACTGACATCACTTTGAGCCTTTTTGCATGTATGGCTCGATTGTTTGACAGTTTTATTATAAAGAATAGCTTGACTGTTGCAATTTTATATTCTTTTTGGTTTCTCTAAGGGTGATTTAATGAAAATTTAATGCTAGGGCTTTGTCTGAGCCATTACAAGCTATCAACTTACTTGTACTAGTGTGGATCCCCTTGTGATTTGTTAAATCTTTGTGAAGCATGCACTGAAAATGGAAAGATCATACGCATAAGCTAAAGGAAGAGTTTTATTCTGTTTGAAGCAATTAAAGGTTTGTTTGGCACAGTTTTTCTAAAATCGTTTTTGTCCAAAATCATTTTCAACCACTCGTTCTCCAAAAAAAATCATTTTTCACTTGAAAAAATCTGTGCCAAACAAGCTTTAAGTTGAGATTTTTTCTTTTTCACATTGTAATTACCACTATCCTGGAAAAGGTCCTCTTGAATTTGATTCCCAGCTCCAAAATAATGACACCAGCTGAGGAGTAAAACCTTGCCTTTGTAGTAACTGACATTGGTTTTTCAGTATTGAAAATATCAGTGCCTCGCTGCAATTTCTGAGCTTTAATATAATTAAATGCACCGTTATCATTGTTAGGTTGACAAGCCTGACTCCACTTGCATCTCTTAAGAGTACTTGGGCCTTTTTTCCACTTGGTCTTAAATGGTCAATGGAAGTTACAACTTAGACCTGAGACTGGTTATTATTGTAGTTTGATTTGTTCTATTGTCTTTTCTTTCTGATTGGAAATGCTAGATGCATATGGGGTATATATTGACAGGCAATGAAAAAAGAATAAAAGATACAAAAGATTCGTGTTCCTTGTTCAATAGCTTCTAGTCTACAATTGGATGGGTTCATAGGTCCAGTTGTATGGATGTGTGAAAGGTATGTGTTTATTTGGCCCAAGTACCTTGGTTAATAACACAGCATGCTGAGAAAGAAACAAATATTTATGTGAGAAACTCTTGGAAGATTTCTGAATGATGAAAAGAATGTTTTCATTTTATGTCTAATAATCTTATTGTCTTGGCTAAATTAAGTTTTAGTGCACTGCCTTTAATTTTTTGGTTTTTCTTAGCCTAAGTTCTTGGACCACAGCCTGTGGAAAACTGTGCCATAATTAGTATTTACCAAAAACTCAATCTATTTAAGTATATTACAATGTTTATGTTATAACTGTAGTCTTTATGCTATGCTCTTGTAACATTCTATTGTTTATACAGATGGGATTGCAGTTTCCAGTACGGTAGCTTAGTTGAGGAGGTAGACGGACATACAGCAATACTATATCAGAGTCTTCAACTGGACTGGTTCCCTATGTAATGTCTCCTTGTAGTTAACTTTCTTTTGTTGGAATGTTGACTTTAGAATTTCATCTTATTGTTTGATTTCCACTTTGTTCATGGGTCATCTCCATGGGCATTCATATAACATTAATGTGTGGCACGGTACATTTTCTGTAATCTACCTATGTCAAATGTCCTGTTTATGAGAAAAGAAAGGGATGAAATTCCTTCACTTTCTATTGACCTTTTCATTCCGAAAAGGAATGTGGTTTGGAGTTTCTTTTAAGAATTTCCCATCTTGAAGTACTATTGCATGCTATTACAGGTTTGTGTGGCCCCGTGACCTCTGCTATGTGAGGTATTGGCGTCGAAATGATGATGGGAGTTATGGTAAACGTTTGAAGCCTTTCCTGTTTAATTATTTGCATTTCAAGTTTCCCAATATGCATCAGTCCTTTGTTTCACCTTGTTATTGTGCAGTTGTGTTATTTCGTTCGAGGGAGCATGAGAATTGTGGTCCAGAGCCAGGATTTGTTCGAGCTCATATTGAGAGTAAATTCAACTTTCCTCTGTTGTTGAGTGAAATTATGTTTTTCCGAAGATATTTTGGAGTTTTATTGTGCATTACAGATTTACTATCTGATCTGTCGGCATTATTTTCAGGTGGAGGGTTCAATATTTCACCAATGAAACCTCGTAATGGGAGACCGAGAGCTCAGGTGCAGCATCTTATGCAGATTGATCTCAAAGGATGGGGAGTGGGTTATATATCATCATTTCAGCAACATTGTCTGCTTCAGATGTTAAATTGCGTTGCTGGTAAGATCTTATGTTTGGTTTATAGTCATTGGAAGACATCACCTAGGATTCAGCATTGGAGTTCATTTATTTGTTGGCACATGTTGAACCACTTGATATAAAATTTCAAGTTGCTAGAGAGGCCACATGTATGTCATTTGAATCTTGTCTTTAACATGCTCCCTCATGCGTAGGCGGAGATCAATTTTTTTTCCCATTAAAGCCTGTTAAGATGCACAGTTTCATTGGATGGGTGGCAGAGAGACTGCATCCATGACCTTTGTGGGCTCTAATACCATGTTAAACCACTTGATCTAAAATTTTAAGTTGTTAGAGAGTTTGATGTTTGTCTAATCTAATGCTCCCCAAATTTGTGGTTGATTGTTGAAGCACCGGATTTCCATCTCTGTTGAAATCATTTGACATACATCTTTTGCAAATTTTTAATTGCTATTTCTACAATGTGAATTAAACTGTTTTGAGTACTACGACTCTCGGAAATGGATTTTTGCTAATCATGAAATTGCCATTTACTGCTTTGGGCTACGATAGTGTTAAGTATGGTATCTTGGTTATTGTAAGTCAGTAATTTGAAACCAGCATAGTATATTGAACAGAGTGCAACTTATTACATATTAGACAACTTCCTCTGGACATGAAAAGTACAGGATCAGAATTTTTCTTGTGATTTTCACTCATCTCTTCCTGCTATTTTTCTCGAGTTTCCTGTCATTTTTTGGTTTCTTTTTAGCATCAGAGTTCACTATTGCATTGTGTGTGTGTTTTTAGCGGATTGTGATCAAAATTGACATTTCCCTTGTGCATTGTCTGAAAACATAATGATGGTTTTCTGGTTTATCATGTTACAGGATTGCGTGAATACTTTTCTCAAACTGATAACAGGACTGCTGCACCAAGAATTCCTGTTATGGTTAATATGACATCAGTTTCCAATTCTTTGAAGAGGAGTCACAAACTCAACTCATCTTCTGCTCTTCGTAGTCCTTCTCTAGATCAAATACAAGCTGAAAATAAGAATGGTGCATTGATGGACGAATACTCTGATGAAGATGAAGATCAAGTCGTCGATCAAGAAGTTCGTATTATACTTATGTTTCTCATAATTTCTTTGTGGTTTCTCATATTTGGTTGAATATTTTGCAGACATCCAGCATTGAAATCGAAGACAAGAGAACTGGTAAATGATGAATTAAATTATGTTCTTTATTTATGTGGCATTGAGTCTTCGTATTAAATATGTAGAGGAACTTATCAGTGTTTTGTATGAATTGAAGCTGATGAAGAAGAACCTCAAGACCAAATCGATTTGTCCAACTTCTCGGGCAACCTTCGGCGTGACAACCACGAAAAGGCTCGTGATTGCTGGACATTATCTGATGGAAACAACTTCAGAGTTCGTAGCAAGCAATTTTGCTATGACAAATCAAAGGTTATTAATTCATTTCTTGTTAATTGAAATACACACTTGTATTTTGATTAGCCAGTGTACTTCTTGACTTGCTCCTATATCATTGTTGAATGTTGGTATATATTTTGAAGGTTCCTGCTGGTAAACATCTCATGGAACTTGTTGCTGTGGACTGGTTCAAAGATTCAAAAAGAATGGACCATGTTGCCAGACGACGTGGGTGTGCAGCACAAGTAAGTTGGTCCAACAATGACTTTTTTTATTACCTGGACACTTTTTTTTCTATCGAGTTCCTCCCACTGTGTCAGAGATTTCTAGATGAACTTTTGTTAGTAATAACAGCTGTAGTCTGTTGGAAGATGAGTTTTGAAATTTGTTGGCAGTGAACTTTACAATGCTATAGCATCAGTGATCAGAAAGGATTTTTTGTTTGGTCAATGCCTTGTGCTAAAAGAGTGTGCTTTCTAAAAATAAGTTCAGATTAGTGGGATTTCTGCATCTTTAGGCCTTAATCTAGTGTGTCATGTCTTGTGTACCCTGGACTGAGTTAATAGTTACTTTTTGAATAAAAAACTGAGTTAGATGGAGTCTTTGCTTCTTAAGTGTCTATCCTTAACCGATCTTTTCCTAAACTTCCTTGAGTAACGCTCCCAACTTCCCCCCTCACCTTTTTTGACTCTACCTTAATTTTTTCATCCACACTCTATTAATAATAAAAAATTCAACTGTGTATAGTTATGATATTTTTCTCTCTGAAGTATTGCTTGTTGTTTCCTGAAATTCTTTTTAAGGTTATCTTCTATTTGTTTGATATTCCCTCGATTTCTCTTACCTGTGGTTACTTGTTCTTGTTCTTTTCAATTCATTTGCTTAGCTTTCTATCTAACCACTCATTCCAAAGAATCTATATTTACAAAAATTAATGTGCCAACTATTTGTAGACTGAACTATGATAAATGATATAGCTTGTTTTTCTCCACTGTAGGTTGCTTCAGATAAAGGACTTTTCTCTATTGTTTTTAATCTGCAAGTGAGTTAATAACTAGCCAATTTCAATTATGGTTAATTTATGTGGTGGTTTGCAAGAGATAACATTTGTCTTCTCAAGGTGCCTGGATCGACACACTACAGCATGGTTTTCTATTTTGTGACTAAGAAATTAGTACCGGGATCTCTCTTACAGCGGTTCGTTGATGGGGATGATGAATTTCGCAATAGCAGACTGAAACTTATTCCATCAGTGCCCAAGGTAACATTTTTTTCTTTTTTTTTCCCCATTTATATTTCAGAACTAGTCTAATATTCAGTTTTATGTTCACCAAATTGTTCTAATATTACATTGTTGGGTTAATTAATATTGTCGTCTTGTAATCAGAGTCTCCATACCTACACAAGCATAGGTTAGACTAATCCTGGGAAAAGATTAATACGGTCAAAGTTGTAGTTGATGTACTAAGAATTTAGCAATGTTTAATTTAGCATTTGAAATCAAACTCAAGGTATTTTCACTCACTTGTTATTCACAGAAAACTTGTGTGTATATATACAAATAACTAACACTATTTTAGGATAGAAATTAGGGCTAAATCTATTTACTTTACTATTCTAGGAAATAGTTTCTAACAAATATGAGTAATCAGAATCAAAATACAGATTTAATAATATTTGTTTTGTCATATTGTATACAGTGGGGTTGACAAGTTCAAGAGCATTATCTAAAGCCATTACAAATTGAACTGAAGTTTAATCGGTTAATTAGATTAACGGATAAATGTAGAAACCATCTCTTTTTCTCATAGTGATTGGTAGTAGCTCCTTGTGGATTCATTGAATTGAATTGAACTCATAATTAATTATTAACAAGTAGAATGGGAAATAAATAAAGTAAAAAAGGGAAGCAAACACCCAACTTTCCCCTCAAGTTTGAGCAAAAATATAAATCATGTCCATCTTTCCAACTATTGCCTCAGAACCAACCACGGAAATTCCTTATGTAAATTGTATGCTAACTGTTTCTTTGTAGTCACTATAGGTGTATTGATCAGCCCATTATCCATTTTTCCTTGATGATGTGTCTGTCAACTTCAATATGCTTTCATGGATAATGTCTCTCCAAATTATGGCAATGCTAGTAGGCATCTTGTTGTTACAATAGATCTTCATAGATTTTTTAGGTTTAATTTCAAGTTCTTTAAGAATGATTTTGATCCAAAGCATGTCATAGATTCCCTGCACCTTAGCTTTGATTTCGATTAAGCACTTGACCTGGCAACCACATATTGTTTTTTCCTTCTCTATGTTACTTGGTTTCCTCCAACAAATATACGCTAGAGGTTGAATTTCTGACAGTTACAGAGCCAGACCTATGAGCATCAATATATGTTCCAACATGTAGATGCCCATCTTTTAGAGAAACACAGCCCTTTTCCTGTCAAGTACCTAGAATTCTTTGAACAACTTCCATATGGTAGTCTAACAAAGCATGCATGAATTTCCTAACCCTGCTTACTGTACATGCTACATCAGGTCAAGCATGAAACAAAAAAATAAGCTTATTAACAAGTCCCTATTATTTCTCCCTTTCAATAGGCTCTCTATCAGTAATGGACCTCTTCAACTTGTTTGCATCCCTTTGTGTGAATTTCATGCTGTAAATCCAGCATATATTTCCTTTTGGAACAAAATTCCACCATTAGACTTAATCCCGAGCCACTTTAATCCCGTAAAATTACCTCAAGCCACCCAAGAATTTTGTTTTAAATTTCTTCGTTCGCCACTATGGAAGCTTTTGGCCGCCAGTTCATCATCACTTATATAGAGAGAACAATAACATTTTTTCTTGGAAATTGAGTGTTCAATAAATTTATCCTTGGGTAGTCTGTGAGTAACCATAGAATCATAGGCATCTTCGAAATCAAGCCCTTGGAGATTGCTTCAGCCAATACGAAGATTTTTTAAAGTTTACACTTTTTGTCATCTCCAAGGACGCCTTTAATTTCCAGAGGAGGATCCATGCAAACTTCTTCCTCTGATTTCCTGTGGTTGCATTCTTACACCAAATTGGTGAAACAGAGAGTACTGGCTAACGATAGAAGAATATGGATTGAGTCCATTTTGGTGACAGGAGCAAAGGTTTCTTGATTGTCAATTCTGAGCGTGTGTATTTTTAAATCACCAACCTTGCCTTATGACTGACTCGTGTGCTTTATACTTGACCATAAAACCCACCTGCACCATGTTTTTCTCCCTCTAGGTAACTCAACTACCTACCATGTCTCATTTTTGTGTAAAGCTCTCGACTTCCACTTAGAATCTTATAGTGCCTCGTGACATTGTTTGGCACATACTTGGATGGAGGATTCTAAACTGGAAGTCAAGGCCTTAAACAGAGGATTGAGACATTGACAAGGAACAATATTATAAATGGGATGTTTGGCACAATCCATAATACCTTTCCAAAGAGAGAGAGAATATCAGGTTCAGTATCGACTAAAGGTTTAATAGATGAAAAATCTCTAACAACCTGTCAACAACCAACCATAATACCCTGGTTCCTGGTGGACTAGAAAATATGTAGGGAAGCAAACTTCCGACATAAATCAAACGAGTGCTTTATTGTGTCAGTTACATCGTCTCCACAGAAAATTAAAGAAGGGAGTACTTTTGGGGGGTTCCTAGGAAGAACTATTAAATTTTATTTGAAGTCCGTTTGATTACATGGTCCTCTCTCTCTCTCTCTCTCTCTCTGTGTCTCCCTCCCTGTGTGTGTAAGAACTGTCTATAATTTTTTTTATATTCTACGGTACCATTGGGGTTTGGTTCCTTCTATTAAATTTTTGTTTGGGCACACAAGTTATCTTGGTGTTTGTTGGGAATCAAGTGTTATCTGAATTACATCAGCAAGTCAGTGAAATATATTTATGCAATAATTCCTTGATGTTCTATTGCATCTCTTGGTTTTTGTAGACTTCACATTGTGGTCAGTTACATCGTCTCCACAGAAAATTAAAGAAGGGAGTACTTTTGTGGGTTCCTAGGAAGAACTATTAAATTTTATTTGAAGTCTGTCGGATTACATGGTCGTCTCTCTCTCTCTCTCCCCCCCTGTTTGTGTAAGAATTGTCTATAGTTTTTTATATATTCTCCAGTACCATTGGGTTTGGTTCCTTCTATCAAACTTTTGTTTGGGTACACAAGTTATGTTGGTGTTTGTTGGGATTCAAGTGTTATCTGAATTATATCAGCAAGTCAGTGAAATATATTTTCCTTGCATTGGCACAAATCTTTTTACATGCAATCAAATGGAGTGTTGGTCACTACTAATTAAATGTGTGTGCGTGTTCTAATTGTGTAACCCACACGTGTAGTGAATATGCATTCACAGGTGCAATAATTCCATGATGTTCTATTGCATCTCTTGGTTTTTGTATACGTCACATTATCATCTGTACTATAAGCACCATGTATATTATGAATACTACTAACATCATCTCCAACTAAAAAATCATGCAGAATTTTTCATTTAGACTGATGATGATTTTCAATGAATTTCATCATGTCTAAGTACTCGAAACTTGAGAACTTTTTTTTATGATTAATTATCCCTACCAAACTTGAACCATTTCTTCCCTTCACTTCGTAACTTTAAATGTGGTGTGCATTGGATTGTGAATTGCCATTGCGAATCATGCAGGGATCATGGATTGTTCGTCAGAGTGTTGGAAGCACCCCCTGTTTACTGGGAAAAGCTGTTGATTGCAACTATATCCGTGGTCCCAAGTATTTGGAAGTAAGCTTCCTTTCATGTTTCTCTATTATCCACACGTAGATATCCAAAATTGCACAACTGTCAATGCTAGCACCTGAATTCTTTAATTGATGATGCCTGATTTTCTTTTGGTCTCTTGTTTACTTGCAGATTGATGTTGACATTGGTTCTTCCACTGTGGCAAATGGAGTCCTGGGGCTTGTAATTGGTGTGATTACAACTCTTGTTGTCGACATGGCTTTCCTCGTACAGGTACTTGCGTCTCTGATGATGTCATATTTCATAGCATCAATTTCTACATGTACTACGTATTTGCCTTATCTTTCTCGTTTATGACATTACGGATGAAAAGTATCTATGGAATTGAAAAGAAAATTCGGCTAACCTATTTTGTACTGAATGTTGGAATATAAAAAAATAAGTGGGAGAAGAACACTACATATATTTGGTCAAATCAAAGATAAAAGTTATATGGGAAAAAATAGACAATCGTGCTATAAGTACAGACAAATTTGACAGAAAATGTTTACAAACAACCCTTGGCATGCATTCATTGGAAGATGGAAAAAATAAAAACAAAACAGGTGAATAATATTTCACCACGTCATCATCGGTAAAAAATCTGTAAAACATTTTCTGTGCTTGGGCTTTTTCCAAAAATAGATGTCATCAAAATTGGAATAAAGAATGTACATGTGGCAACGGTAAAAGCTCATGTATACTTTGACTTGGAAGAGGATCTTGGAAAATCTATAGCTGTTAGTATAAGTATGCATTGATGGAGAAATACCGAAAAATTAGAAAACAAAAGATTCAAGTTTGCCCCTTACTTTCTATTCAAAAATCTGGTTTAAGTTATTAAAATAAAAATCATTGCATACGAAAGAATTTCATTGAAAAGCACAAGAAAATAAAGTGGAGCATTTGTGTTAGTAGACTTTAGTGTACAGTACAGAAGTGTGTGAAGGATGGAGATAGAACTCCTTGCTATAGTCGCTAAAAGAACTTTATGTATCCTTATTGTAGAATTTTTAATTATGCTGAGTTCCATAAATGCTTCAATATTTGCATATTTCAGGCTAACACAACGGATGAGTTACCCGAGCGACTTATCGGTGCTGTTCGAGTTTCACATATAGAATTGTCATCAGCTATTGTCCCAGTGCTCAAATCGGATACAACATAGCTGTTCATATCATGATATGTCAAATACTTGTGGATTTGATTGTTGAAATATATATAAACATTCTTTCTTTTGCCCCCCAACCGAAAAATACAACCTTTTAGAACTTGACATTACATTTGTGCAATCACATACAAATTTAGGGTATAGGTACTTTCAGTTACTTGAGATGTACAAAAAGATTTACGTCTTGTATTGTGTACCAAGTATCAATTCGTGCTCTTGTAGTTTGATATGAAAAGAACACCATGAATATGTCACTCATTTGTGAATTATATAGTACATAGAAGTGTATTAAAGATCATGATGAAAACGAAAATCCCATCTATCGCCTAGCTTCATCCAATCTTGCATTCTAACATAATGTATGGTGAAGTTGTCAAGATAACTATTGAGTTATAAGATCAAGAAATGCTTTCAAAGAAGCCATTGATGTTGATGGATAACCATTCCCAAATATGTATCCTAACCCTGTTGCTTTATTATGAACCTCCTCATCACCCATCAATTTCTCAATTTGTTGCATTATATCATCCTTTTTTACCATCTCTGCAGAGTCACCCCCTGTTGAAACCATACGCCCCACTTTCAAATGATTCACCACCAATTTTGCATCATAAAATTGGTCACCCCTAATTGGCCATGCCAAAATTGGGACCCCAAGTCCAGTTGCTTCCACGGTAGAATTCCATCCACAGTGTGACAAAAATCCTCCAGTTGATGGGTGGCTCAAAATTAATAATTGTGGGGCCCATCCCTTTATAATAAGTCCTCTATCACCAACTTTTTCTTTCAACCCATGTGGGTAGTATCCTTCATCATTATCTGAACCGGGTTTCCCTCCAAAAAACCCGGGTGGTGGACCTTGCCTTCCGGAACCGGGTTGAATTACCCATATGAATGACTGGTTCAACTCTCCTAGTGCTGCTGCTAATTCAGCATATTCTTCCAGTGTTGGACCAACTTCACTACCAAATGACACGTAAATGACTGACTGACTTGGCTTTGAATTCAACCACTGAACTACCTCATCTTCCGTGTAATTTGAATCTCGGTTCGACCTTCCGTCAAAAAGAATTGAACCGGACCCAACTGATTTCCAGTAGTTTTCTGGCAACAATGGACCAACACCCAAAACTGCTTTTCCAATTTGACTGGATATATATTCAAGAAACGGTTGTTCCAAATCATCACACGTGTTGATTAACAAGGCAGTCGAACTGTCCGCCTCTTCTAGCCATCTCGGTGGTTGTCCCGGTTCAGGAGGGCCAAAGTTCATTCCACTTGGTGGTCCGCCCGGTCCACGAGGACCACTTTTCGGGAACCGCGAAGGTGGTCGAGCCCTTCTTTTAAGGTCCGAATAACTCAAGGCCACGCCTTCGGGTAACCCGGGCAACAACCGGATCTCACCGGGTTTCATATCATCCACATGGGATTTCCACGCAGCATACTCCACAGCAGCAGAACAAGCACCAGAGGTGAAAAATGACACTATAGGTATCTGCATTTTCTTGAATAATTCCTTGCTCCAGCTCATCATTACATCAATTACTACACATAAGGGTCGGGTCTGACCCGGATTCTTGTACCTGTCAGTGATAAATGACTCAATCCCTTTGCCCAACTCCTGATGGTGAAGGTGATTTGGCCTAGGCCCTTGTCCATTTCCAGGTCCGGGTGTAGACCCTTCTTCAGGTGACAAAGGTGGTGGTGCTCCCAACTCTAGCGGCGGCGGAGGAAAAGGTGAATATGAAGCTGGGATTTTGAGCACTTCAACTAAAGAATGAGTCTGGTGTAGAGAGAAAGGTACGGAGGAGGAGAGATGAGAAGGGATGATGAGAATAAGTTTGTAATTGTAAGAGGAAAGGCGTTTGCATAGCTCAATGCACGGAAAAAGATGGCCCTGACCAAAAAATGGAAGTACCAAAATATCACCCACAACAGCTTCCATCTTAATTTTCACTCTTTGGCAATACTTGTGTGTATATACATATACATACAGATATAGAGGAGAGAAGGAACCAATGGAGAAACGTAGTTGAGAAGCAAAGTGCTAGGGACGGTTGACGGTTGGGTTAAAGCATAGAGATTATAGAGTACAATCCAAGAAAGGAATTCTCCTACTCCTTAAGCTACGCAATTAATTCGTTCAAATGGGAGATTAAATTTTTGATTAATATATCCAGCAGGCATCAATCTAAATGGCAATTACATAGCATTAAAAGATGGATTCATTTAAATGTAAAGTCATTAAAATATCCAGCAGGCATCAATCTAAATGGCAATTACATAGCATTAAAAGATGGATTCATTTAAATGTATAGTCACGTGATGCAATAAATTGAACATATAAAAAATGATCATCTAGACTAGTATTCTAGTATCATTGGTGCTGATAACATTATTTTTTAAATTTTATTGACTGTATTTGCGATGTTTTGGCAAGGGTATTCTTCCCGAGTTTAGACGTGCTCTTCCCGTAAGACAATCGGGTCTTCTTATAAAAATTTTGACCTATTAAAATTTTATGAGTGATGCCTCAAAAATTATAAAGAAATTTCGTGAGTAACGCTGACAAATTAACACTCGTGTTATATAGCATTATTCAAGGTTTAGTTTTAAAACGTCAAAATTACAATGTATCAAAATTTCGGTGGAGTGATAAACGGCTTTAGAGTGTGTTTGGTAGGGATTTTTGGGGGAAGAATTGATTTTTGAATAGTGATATGATGGGAAATGTGTGGTTGAAAAAGAAGAAAAAAGTATTGATGTGATGGAAAATATTATTTTATTGAANATATTATTTAATTGAAGAATGTGTGATTGAAAATGAGAATTGATTTACTGTAGAAAATGAGAATATGTACCAAACAGGCCCTTACAAAAATAACATATCTAGACTTTGTTTCCGCGTGCTTGAGAAGGGTGGGCCCACTGTGTTTTTGATTTGGTTGCGAATTTCAAAGTTGGTGTCATTTCAATTGTATAGGCCCCCAGAATTGCGGGATCTCTCTTAACTGCACCGCCCAACATTTAGCCCCTGTTTGGCCCCATTACTGTGCATTTTTTATGGTTGAAAATTTTTGCAATAGTGATTGATGGGAGAATGTGTAATGGAAAAGTAGTGAAAAATTTTAGATTTGTGTGTAATATTATTTTATTTGATAAATGTGTGATTGTAATGAAGAGAGAAAAATATTTAATGTAATGGAATTGAATTTAATGGGGGCCAAACAGGGGCTTAGTTATTGAGGAATGCTTCCGGGGTTACAATATATGGCTTTGGATGATAGACAAGTAAAACGTGAAAGTAAATTAATCATTTAATTTCACAAATTATTTAACGTCACATTAACGCTATTTAGATTGAGATTGTAACCTCATTGGGACTCAATAGCATCACTTTTATGACACGTTTGATTGCAAGCATGAAATTTGCATGCAAAAAAAAAAATAAAAAAATCTAATCAATTCAATTGCTTAGAACTTATTTGTACGAAAAATATTAATTAAATGTGTTTGATTGATTTAATTTTCAATTTATAAAATATTATATTTGTCCATTTTTTATTGGTGGGTAGATGAGAGAAAGTAGATAGATGAGAGAGAAAAAAAGAGTAAATTACTTGGAAAATGAAAATCACCTCCCCCAAAGAAAATATTTTCATTGTTTTAAAAAATATATGGTTACTTGACCAAAAGTAAGAAAATATTTTCCATGTAAAAAATTATCAATCAAACAACATAAAAATAGAAAATTATATGTAAAAATACATTTTCCATGAAAAAAATTAGCAATCAAACGCACCCTCAATTATTATATTTGATTGAAATTGATATCCTACCTTCCGTGGATAGAATACAAATTTGAATTAAACTATATGACATCCTCCCCTATGTGGAAAAAATGTGTGCGGTAATGTGATGGATGAGTTGAAAATCAAGAGTGTAAATCTTGTCATGTAGAAGAATGTAAAGAAATGTATAAGAAAGAGTGTACATGTAACATGTTTGTAAAAATTTCTTACTGCTAATGTGACAGAATATTATAGTAGAGAGATGGTTTACAAATTACAAAGTAGCACTATTTAATTTTGTACTAAGTAGCAATGATATATCATAATAAAGGATTTGAATATCAATAACCAGGATGTTTACACCTCATGAATGGTCAAAATTATTTGTACAAATTATTGTACAAGTAGAATAATTTTATTCCTAATTAATGACTATAATAATCATCATATGTGTCGTTTGTTATTGTAGCATTATATTGTTATTTGAAATAACAAAATTACAGAAAATTAATGTCTCAAATAACAAGTTACCGTATAGGATGCCACATATAGGGCGACTATTTAGTCGCCGATTATAAATAGTATTATTCTTTATATAATTTTAATAATTTTTGACGTGTAGTCCTCTAAAGTGCCACGTGGGGTAAACAGACATTTTGTAATTTTTTTTACATACATTTGTTTACGTGAGAAGTTTTACATTAACTCCTACCTCGTCTCTTAAGGGAAAAGTATTTGTACAAAAATGGGAATGTACAACCTTACCTTTAAAATTACAAGGAGAGGAGGTGGGGTCTTCTATTAAGAAAATTGCTACTTGTACATTAAAAAGTGTACAACAAGGTCTATTTCCCCTCACATGGCGGGGTCCACTTGAATAAAATATTCGAGTGGACCCCTTACCCATGTGAGGGGGGTGATGTATACCCCGCTGTGCATCGTGATGAAAGCATGAAATTTGGTAATTAATAGAAGAAAAATGCTACTTGTATATCAAAAAGTGTACATCAAGGTCTACATCCCCTCACATGATGGGGTCCACTTGAATAAAATATTCGAGTGGACCCCTTACCCATGTGAGGGGGGTGATGTATACCCCGATGTACATCGTGATGTACACCCTGATGTACTAGTAGCATTACTCTTCTATTAATGAAGTTCATACAAAAGAAATGGTGCATTGTAACTCCATCATTATTCTATAAAATACAATGACTGTAAGACAAAACATTTTTCTTATGCAAAATTTTAACCACAGACAACAAAGCTGATTTTCTTTGTTGTAATTTGATACATTAGTAATAAAGTTCTAAAATTTGGAATTATCGATTTTGTGGGTAATCGGTACAAAAGTAAACCAAATTACTAACCATGTCGACGCATCAAATCGATACCAAAATTAAATTAAATTGGTCAAACTGTAACAAAATGAAGTTAAGTGATTACAATAAATATTTTGGCTGCAAAATTGGGTGACAAATAGTGTCTCTGGAACATAAACTTGCCCACTAAGATAAATTATTGGAGGTTTGAATATAGTAAATGGAAATTAAAGAAAGTATTTTGCTAAAAAAATATATAAAAGGTACCTTTGAAAGATTAGCAGATTAATATGCAGCATCTATAAATTTTAATTAGAAGCATGAAGTAAAAGAATAACCCATGAAAGTGAAGCAATGGCCTAAGAAACCCAACAATGTACAAAGACTTCTCTCATATCACTATATATTAAAAGAGGCAAAGTAAATGTCACACGTGTTGCCATTTTCCATCGTCGTCAAAAATTCCCCTTTTTAAAAAAAAAAAAAAACCTGAAATTAGTCCAAATTTCTTGCAACGCCGTCCTACTTTTCCATTATCTCACGTAACCACCAACTCCTCCTTCATTTTCTCACGCAATTGACTTCATCAATACCACTCATATCATTCGTCAATCCACCACCGTTAATTCACAAGCGCCGAATTGTCGTGTCTATGGCTTCCTTTCAATGCCTTCACTACCTATTCTATTCCATTGCTTATTCCCAACAGAGAAACTCCAGAGACAAACACATCAGGTTTGTATTAAATTTTCCCCCTTTCTTTGTGGCCATTCATTTATAAGTAGTTTGTCATATTTGAAATTGATTTTCAAAAGTATGGGACTATTGATTTTACATATTTATTGTTTTTGTTAAGCCTATGAAATTCGCATTTCTAGAGGGAATGATTTGGCTACAAACCAATGCTTGGTATTCACCCTACTCTTGTATTCTTTTTATATCAATATTTTTTTCTTAAGGTTTGAATAATTGAATTCATGGTTAATACTCTTTTGCACAGGAGAAATGTCTGCATTTGATAATGTTGTCAGTGGAAGGCTGAAACTTAAGGGGAATGCTCTAGATATGAATCCAGGTGGAGTGAAGCAAAAGAAGAAGCAAAAAAAGCACTATAAGTAAATTTCCGAGGTCTCAGAAAATGATTTTCGAGAAGGTTAGTTGAAGTTACTGGAAAAAGCCTGAAAGTAAATCCTTCACATGGGCAAAACAATTTAATCAATTTGTGGAATGTTAATAGCTAAGGTTGGGGCACATTTATTTTATTTATCTGTGTCTTTGTATGTTTTAAAATTGAAATCAATGCTTTAGATTAGAGACTTGAGTATGGGGATTGGATGACTGGTGATTTTGTTGGGTGAATTTGAGATTTGTCTGGTTTTGCTCTTATGGCAACTCTCCAACAACATAAAATAATTCACTTTTTTATGGATTGTGAAGATTTCGTTGGCTTATTTAATCAAATTTGTATAGTTGAAAAAATATTATTGGTAGTATTTAAAAATAAAATAAAATCTCACGGAGGCACACAAAGGTGTGTCTCCATGCCGAGCACAGAGACCGTCCGTGCACACGGTCGTGTCTCCGTGCCGCGCACGGAGACACGAGTGCGGACAAGTTCTCTTGAGACACGATAAAATTTTAATGCCCATGTGCACACTGTTCTTTTATGTGTTTAAATTTCTCTGGAGGTTTTTTATTTTGAAGACCTACCAATAATGATATTGTTTTTACATTAATTGCCTCTTCTGTCAGTTGAACTTATTAAATGGACTACAATACACAGGAAAAACAATGTGCACAAGAAAGTCGTGCATACCAGACGCCCATAAATAGCTATAGGAAAGTCGCAACGGACACAAAAATGAACCGATCACCAAGTTGACGACGGGATCTGCGACCAATATTCTTGAGAAGAGCAGTCTCACTTGCCGAACCAAGGCTCTTAGCTACAGGAAGATATTCTAAGACAAGGTGATCGGGGCATGCAATAGTCATAGTTTCTTTAGGCAAGGATTTTGTACCTCCAACACCTTCACTAGCTGGTTTGCTGAGCTGAATTTGCATTTTTTCCAGAAGTTTTTTCTATTTATTCTCTCCCTTGCCCTTCAATAATCAAGCTTCGAGTTTTAACCACAGATAGCCAATGTTAAGGCTTTCCTCTTTCTGCATAATCAGGAAGTATGACTATTTTTGAGTTTCAGATGTATAAAACATGACCTTAAATAAAGAGAAATGATATACTAACACGTTTTTACAAACCATTGATATGTTAAGAACAACCCTCATTACAGTAAGCATTGACTGCGTCAAATTCAGGACGTGAATTTATATAGTCAATTCTAACTATAAAAAGGGCAATAAAAAACAAGTGCAGATTCAATCGGCAACATATAGGTATCATAGAGTTACTTCTACACAACAATTGAAGTTCAGTTTCAACTAACAACTGATACACATTGCATAATAACATTAATTTCCAGTAATTTTTTTCTTTTTTGTTCAGAAAGTACTCTAGACACGACAACATTGAAACCTGGAAATTGCGCTAACTCGAAATATTTGACAAATGGTATGCAATCCGATACATCCTACCACATTGAAATGGCAGCTATAAATGCATAAAGAAAAGTAAAGGACAGCCCGCAAATGTGAACCTAGAAAGTATTAGTATCCAAAGTTACATAAAAAAGGTCCTCAATAAGTTTTCATTACATTCACTTGTCAACAGAGAAATCATTTTGGAATTAGAGAGGCAGCATACAAACCCTCTAAACCAAGGAAAACATCAACAGAAAAAACTGCAAATTCATTTATTCTAAAGCAAATTGCACCACCCAATTAAAATGAGGAAAATGAAAACCTCTACCAATTGTCTTCAGACTGTAAAGAAATGTGCTGGCAAACTGTGTCTATTGGGAAGCCCCTTTGGAGACTTGTTCTGGAAGAATTTGATGATATGCTTGTCAACATCCTTTTATTAGCAGCATTAATATCACTAGTTCTTGCTTACTTGCATGGGAATGAAACTGGACAGTCAGGGTGTTGACACACAAAATATTCAGCTCAACTCAAATGGCCCAAGAGAGGAAATGGCCCAAGAGAAGAAGCCCATTTAGAGAGATCAGGGTAAAAGCCCAACCAGAAATGTCATTAAATATGATGAAAACCCAAAAACAAAGGTGCTTGTCGCCCAAGCCTGCAGAA